GAAGAAGGAGAATGTTTCGAAACTGTGGTAGCGATTGTACAGTACTGCTTGATGTGATTGAACTATGAAATAATAAGATGCATGTATTAACTCCCAATTAATAATAAATTAAAATGTAAATAATAATAATTAAATACTCTTTTAATTAATAATTCTAAGTCCAAAGAACAATGCTTGGGACAAGTACATTAAATGTGAACTATTATTCCTGTCATAATTACTTTAGCAGTAATAGTATGTTTACTAGTAATAATATTATTATCTTTATTACCTTTACAAGGCACATGGCATAGGCAAGGCTTGACGGTGTCACTTAGCAGCCCAAGAATAGTGTATTTTACACCAACGACACGTTTTATGGGCTTGGCCTTTTCAGACACTGCTTCACCCCTTCACATGTTAGTTTTCTGTGAATGCTTTGCGTATGTGTGCTCTTTATTTCTATGAGTGCATTGCATGTGAAAAATACAGTAGTATCTGCCTAGGTCACTCTACCAACCTCAAAGAGGGAGTACATCAGGGATACCCACCCCTGCGTCACCAGGAAATCTACATCTCTTCCGAAAATCCCAGTGCCCTCCTCGTCATGTCAGACTGCTCTGGTACTAACATTTGCAGCACGTAGACCCTGCCTCCCAGAGCAGAGATGAGGAAGAACCAACCTGGAAAGCTCAAGTTCAAAACAGAGTGTTAGAGTCAAGTACCACTGATGCCACCTCTTACAATCTAATTGCTATAAAATCATAGACTCTCATAGCTTCGAGGGTAGCAAGCCTTAGAAATTCTTGAGTTCAGGATTTAGGGATAGTGTTATTCACCCTGAAAGCCTACAAGACGTGTTCAAGGCTGTGCGCATAATTCACATGTGATAAGCCATTATGATGTGCCTGGTGCCATTTTGAGTTTATCTTTCCAACAGCATTATGATATTTAATATATCTGGGCCCCAGGATATATCTAGAGCAGCTCATAACTTTTCTTTATATCCTGTGTCTCGTATGATTCTAATAATGACCCTCTGGCAGAGGTAGTAATGGAGCCTAGTACCTCTTACTCATACCTCAAGGGACAGAGCATAAGCAGTAACAACCTGTGAAATTGTACCAAATTTTATTTTCTTAGAGTCTACTCTTCCCTCTCCAGCAAGTTCTTTGTTTAATGAGCCTCAGAACTCATAAGTGTTTCTGGGCAACCCAGTCATCCCATCAGCTTGCAGTTGAACAATCTGTGTATTTTTCTTATGGACTGTAATGCCAGTTCCTAAACGTGATGGATTAAAAGTGCAATCAGCTTTAATGACTAATTTATGCACATTGTCCTCTGATGCGGCTGTATGAATCAATTTGTGATATTGGAGGGAATATAAATTGGAGCTGTTAATTGGATTTCCTCCATTCCATTGATCAGCACCTCCCACTTGCAGCTCAGGAGCTGGGCTTGTGTCATTAGCACAGCAGCATTGATCCCAGGCTGGCCCCCCTGATGTATGTTGACACCTTTTATAACTAACAGATGCTACCAAAGTGTTAGATAAATCATTAGTGCCTCAACTCTGGAACCTTTGTGAGGATAACTTTTTAATATTTCATCCCTGTGTGAATTGAATCATTTCCTTCTGTAATTGCTCTTGTACATCCCATGTAGCTTTTGATTATGGCCTTAAATCTTCTGCTGGACCAAATTTGAATCATTTTATTTTGCTTAGGAATTGGAGGACATTGTCACTGTAGTAATTTGTCCCCTCCATATTTTTGCTGTCTTGCCTTTATCCCTTCCGTATTTCCTTTAGTATCTCACTACCAAAGCGCTCCATAATCATGTCTACATCTGGGCTCTGGAATTAGTGAGAATTGAGCTTTTATCACCATGGGATACAAGGCATTCTTATTTATAGTATCAAGTACTTACTGACCATCCTCTGCCCTAAGAAATTTTGGCAACAAAGCAAAGTCAAGATAAAAATGATTCCCTCCTTCTCATCCCCATCAATAACTGATAATCATGTAGGAGAAGAGAGACAGCACAAAAATGTTTCCTGGGCAGGGACTATATGTGTCACATGTATGACACCAATCAGGGTGATACAGGGTGGATACTCATGGTAGGGTAGCCTCCCATAAAGAAGCAGCAGTTGGAAGACCCAAGATTAGGAGGATAACCCTCATCTTCATGCCCTTTTACACCATCGGTATTATTAACATCTCATTCTAGTCATCTTCCTCCTGGTTGCCTTTTTTTTTTTTTT